GTTTTGGAGGGAACAGCTATCAACTTTATGAACACGTGTTGTATTTTTTTCTTGCCCAAATACTTTTCTTGTCCACCTTCCCCATAAGAAGGATTAATTCCTTGTTCATTTGTTCCTTTGAAATCTTGCCGCCTCAGGCATCTAATGACACCAGGAGATGTATCAGTTGAATTACTGTCTCCACTAAGCAACAGTGAAACCCTAGAGGAGCGAGGGCTGATAAAGCAGACTGCAAAGTCAAGTATGCAGACTCCTTTCAGTTGAGCTCTCTGCCTCTCCCTCCAGGGTCTTGACTTTATCCTTCTGGTCCTAGGATGTAGCTTGCTCCATGTAGCAGAAACAAGATGCAGGGATGCAAAAGGGCCAAGGGATGGATAACAGCCATGTTTTAAGGAAAGTTTGTAAAATATGCCACAAGATTATTTCTTTTGGTTACTCCTCACGGTGAGGGAAGCTGGGAAATACTCTTTGTTCTAGGCGGCCTTATACCCAGCCAATGCGTTAGTCATTAGTGCCCACATAGTTCTTATTACACACTTGGCACTATTCCAGTGTAATAGGAAGCCTAATAGTTTACTGGGCCAGAGATTGACATGCTGTAGGTGACATTATGGTAGCAAAACAACAGGAGTGCCCATCATTTACTGAAAGCCTACCACCCGTTGGACACTGTGTTACACTGCATTTATTTGATATCAATCCTCAAATACCACACTACAAAGATACTTTGCTCATTGTATAGGTAAAGCATTTATTTGATATCAGTTTTCAAATATCACACTACAAAGATACTTTGCTCATTGTATAGGTAAAAAAAAAATGGGAAAAGGGGAAATTAAGAATTTACTCAAAGGCATAGATGTGGCAAATATACATGTAGAATTTGAGCATGAATTTGGATCTAAATATGTTTTACTAAAAACCATTCACATGAAACTTTCCCATGCTTGAGGAAAAAGTGGGAATCTATTAATGTTAGAACATGGGCTCTGGAGTTAGATAGCCTAGGTTTGAACTCCAGTTTTGCCATTGGTAGCTCTGTGAACTTGGGCACTTTATTTCATCTTTTTAGGTTTCAAGTTTCCACATCTGGAAAAAAGGATAGTAACTTTACAGGGTTATTGTAAAGAGAGAGTCCATGTAGAACACTCAACATGGTATCTGATAATAATCATGCGGTAGAGCTTTATTTCATCATCATCATGGTTATTAGTAGTAGTGGTAGTTTACTTAGCACTTTTTGAGTTAAAATGGAGAGGAGGTAGAAGCAGTGGACCATCTAGAAATTGTTGCAATGATCAAAAAGTGACAGAACTTAGGAAAGAGTAGAAGCAGTGGTACAAGGTAGAAACATTTTCCTTATTATGAGGAATACAAGTTTTGTTTGTTTGTTGTTTGTTTGGAGAGGTTTTTGCTATAGGGCGCATGTGCTCGCCAGACAGAGAGAGACAGAGAGACAGAAAGCGAGAAATCACCCCCCAAGGGGGATGGCCACGCTGCAATCCTTTCTCCTCCATTTTCCTCTCAGGATCTTGGGCATGCACGCACACGCGCCCAGCGTGAGTTTTAAGCCACAGGGTCCGGGACGTGAACCGCGGTCAACTGTGTAGGAGTCCAGCGACATAGCCATTACGCTAACTGCTGGTCCCTGTTTGTTTGTTTTGAGAGAGAGATTTTTGCTATAGGGTGTGTGCTCTTGCCAGAGAGAGAGAGAGACAGAAAGCGAGAACTCACCACCCTCAGTGGGGATGGACATGGACATGCCTCAATTCCTTTTCCATTCTCCTGGTGGAATTTTGGGCATGCACACACATATCCCTGGAGTGAGTTTTAAGTCACCAGGTCTGGGACTCAAACCATGTTCAATTATGTGGGAGTCCAACAACATAGCCATTACACCATCTGCTGGTCCCAGGAAAATTTTCTTACTCCTTATTTATTTACTGTTCTTCACACTGATCAAAATTGTGTGGTTTTTAGATTCTGAATAGAACAGTGCAAACACACCAGAGGATTTTTATGGCTGTTCACCAGCTAAATAGCTGCTTTTTACATGAATAACTATTTTAAGAATTTAGACATCAATTTTTAAGAGCAATGTTCAGGGAAATATTATTTTAAAGCAAATACTTTAAAAGTTAAAAAATAAAAAAAGGTGGCTAACATATGAATAAAAGCTGTATCAAGCCATATTGCCCAGGAGTTTGTGACAATTCAGGCATTAAGAATTGTAGTTAAATTGCAAGTTATCTGGCATAAACAATTGTGAATAGGTACTATGATCATTCCAGAAAGTTCCTAAAAATGATATATGATGATATAATGTTAGTTACATGAGAAGCTTTGAAAATCTGTGGCTATGAAGCAAATATTTAGAAATGCCCTGACTTGTATTAGAAAGCCTCTTCATTAAAAATATATAGAAAAAATTTTGGCCCCCCAAAATTCTGTGAACTAAATTAAAACTTTAGGTAAGATAAGACTACAGATGACGGCCAATTTTGTGGCTTTCACAGTATTCTGGTATGAAGAACATTTTTGGATCTCTTCCAGAACACAAATGTGGGAATATATTCCATAGACCGTAAAACTGCAGTTCTTGAAATTCAGTTTTCTGACAGAAAAGAAGTATGGAATGGAAAGTAAACTGGATTGGGATTGGAAAACCCAACTGTTGTAAGTCTTAACATGGAATGCGGGCCTGTTTGGTCTAACTCCTCTTCCCCATCTTAGGAACAGAAGTTTCTCAACCTCGCAGGGTTGAACTAAGGGAAGGATGAAAGTGTTCAGTATGTATGATCTAGTGCCAGCGCTCTCTGGACATGGCAAATGTTCCTTGAGAAAGGATTTTCGTGTGTTCTTTGAAGACTTCATTGTCAGAGACCTCCTGTCTGCAGTCCCTTTAAAGTTGTGACTACTTCTATTCCATCTGTTTGCCTGAACTTTTTCTGTAGTCCCTAAACATTCAGGGTCCATTCACAGTTTTCTTCTCCAGGAATCTTTGTCTTTTCTAGGCAGCCATTGTGGACAACACTTAATACTTCCCCATTGCTAGCAACCTAGTAGTCTCCCCCCTCCCCCCACACACACCATGTTCATGGGACACATCTGTGCATCTTACCTCAATGAACTCTGGGGGATGTTCTACTGCTACTTCCTAAACTGCAGTCGTAGAGTTGCAGTTTAGAACTGCAACTGGCCAGGTTGCTTCAGTCACCTGCTCTCTAATTAGATATGTCAGCCATGACTTAGATACCAGTCATGGTGCCCCAAATCTCAGAAACACCTATTAAGTTTTTTATGAGACTAATAAAAGTAATTTTCTCTTGACTGGTGTTGTACGTTAATACCCTCACTCCTTTCCTTTTGCAAATGGATCCCCCAGCACAGCCATCTTCAAATAATTGTTCTTCAAAAATCCTCCTTCAATTTTCTCTTCTGAGTTACTTTCTTTGAAGAATGTTATATTTTTATTTGGTATTTCCCTTTGTTCTTTGTCTTAGCCAAAAATTCTGTTTTAATACCTGGTTAAAGCCATGTCTTTGAACCAGCAGACAGCGGTCCGAATCCCAGACCTGGAAGCTTAAAACTCATGCCAGGCACATGTGCGTGCATGCCTAAAATCCCAAGAGGAAAATGGAAAAGGGATTGTGGTATGGCCATCCTCCCTGGGGCACAATTTCTTGCTTTCTATCTCTCTGTCTCTCCAGTGAGCACACATGCCTTATAGCAAAAATCTCTCTTAAAAAAAATAATTAAAAAAAAGGAAAAAAATGTATTGAAATAATCTGTTGCCACTC